TCGTTTCTCAAAATTCTTCTGTGACATTAACGACGATTTCTCCAACTCGTCGTATCCCTCCAGCCCTTCTTCGATCCCCTCAAGATCATAAACGGGTGCCAACGATTTCTTCGAATACTTCTTCTTGCCACGAAGTTTTCCCAACCCAAATAAAGCTTTCAGCCCTTTCTTTTTTGATGATGATTTATCCTTTGACTTCTTCCTCGAACCACCGCAACAGCAGCAGCACCACGAAGGCCAGCAATCGCAGGTCATCTTTTGTCGCTTTTCCGACACCGGAGGGTCGTACCCGTATAATGCCTGGCGGTTGAATACACATCCTGTACCGACATAGACTGGCCCTTGTATTCCGTCAAGTCCTCTCATGTTGATCTGTGGAGTTTCAACACTATTATGGTTCGCCATCGCTGGAGTGTAATGTTATTTGAAGAAATGTTGATGGTTATTGAAACTTACATCGAAGAAGACGACGTTGCGATTGGCGTATCGATCGTGGCGATCAATTCCGTCAAATCGTTGCGGGAATTGGACGTAACAGAGCTTCTTTCCGAGCTGTGGATCCATTAAGAAGCACATTGCTTCCCTTACAGCTTTGCTGTTGTTGATGTAGTGATCACAATCCAGATTCAGCATGAACGGCGCATTTGTAAGCACAGCAGAAACTCGAATCTGATAACCAGAAAAAGCAAAATCAGTCGTATTAACACGAAGCCCTAATCCGTCAAATTGATCACTTTTCTCGAGATCAAACAGTTAACTATTTGTAAATTTCAACTACGAAACTTGAGACTTACGAGGGCATTCATGGCTCCGGCCTTCTTGTGATGATTATAACCAGGTCGCTTTTCACGAGAAACATAAACCAATTTCGGCAAGTCTTTCCCTTCGACATCAAGCGCACCTCCGCTTCCGAGATAAACCTGTGAATCGTCCGTCAAACACATTTCAGATAGAAATTAAACGAGAAAATCGAGTTCAAACTTTAGATATAAGAAGGTTTGACGATACCTGAATCATCCCGGGATGATCACGACTATCATTCCCAGGCCATGGCGTTCCGTCTTGCATCACCCAGCCTTCTTCTGGTTTTTTCAGAGCTTTTGCGACCAGTGCATTGATTCGCACCTTAAACTCCTCGTATTCTCTCTGTGAATATATTAAAAAAAACAGTCAAATTATCGTTTGTGATTTTGGAGAAATTTAGATGACTACTACTTACTTTCATGGCTCTACGATCCTTAACGAAGGTAGGCTGGACTTTATCCTTCAGGTAATCAATCTTCTCTGAGAAATAAAACTCCGGCGCCCTAGGCTCAATGCTATACTTTTTGGCAAATGGGACCCATCTTCTGGCAAACTCTGCAGTCTCTGATAACGTATCAAAAAGCAACATAGAAGCACCATCATCCGATACATAACAACTCACTTTCTCAGTCGGATAATCAACTGACAATATCGATAGGACCGTATTTGCTGTGATGATGGGTGGTTCCTTAAGCGGGTCAACCGAACTCACAAAGAAATCAACCGGTAAGAGCCCACTGGGCTCACCCTCACGCTCAAACCGCAACGAGAGGCGATCCAGGTAGGTTTCACGGTTGATTGGGAACCATTTTGGGAACTGATCGAGTATCCATGATAAAGCAAACCAGATTTCACATATGACTGAGATGAGCCATAGAGGGTAAGCATCATATGCAGGTGTCATGATTCGGAAACGGAAGAAGAAGATGAGGATCACGAGACGTAAGATGATGACTATACGATATGGATTGATTAAGCTCGATGAGATCGGGACTTTTCGCCATAAGGGTTGTCGAGCTTCAGCCATACTGCATACACTTAATCTGGTAAGCTATATATATGGGTTTTTTTGACTTAATGCAGAAAGAACGACTTAATAGAGAAAAATGTCCAAAAGACAGGGATTAAAATCCCCGGTTACACTTACAGATAGTCGTCTTCTTCACCGGGATCGTTACCATCGTCAGCTTTTGTTACTAGGCCTCTCTTTTCTTGCCGGGTTTTCCATTTCTCAACTCGATCTTTCCATTCATCATCTCGATCACGATCAAGATCCTTTCCGGCAACTACACACATATCAAACAGTCATTGCATAGAACTAGTGAAACATTCACCAAATGAAGTTTTTAATACATGTGATTTGAGCACAAGACCCAAAATGTGTATATTGAAATAGGATAAATGACTTGTGCAAAACTTACATTTTTTTTATCAATTTATATAAGGAAGTAGATTTTAAGCATTTAGTCATGTCACAATTTGTCACCAATATCTTATACAATTTGGTAAAAACATGTAAGTTGGTTGCATGAATTTTATTAATTAAGTTCTCAAAATATCATATAGATAACTGATTATCATATACAAAATTTTACCGCTTCCGGCAGAGGAGAAAGCAAAGCCGTTGGTATTGTATTGTTTTGGAGGATGAGAGTCGCCATTTTCCTGTAAAATGTCACAAAAAGATAAAAATTCGACTTCTTTTATGAACATTTTACCATTGATAAATTACAACACTTAAACATGTTTTCCTTCAATCGTTTCATTTGGCATATTGATAATAAAATACAACACTTTTTGATTTATATAATCACGGGATTCTGCGTAAACATGAAGAGAGCTTCATCTGCTATCATGCTTTTTAGCTATCCGAAGGGTTATAACTTATAAATATCATTTTTGCTACTTGTTGATAGTCAAAGTTTATAAGACATAGTTACATGTTAACAACATTAAGTTAAATTACCGATAATTTATCAACACGATTATGATCTCGGGTTTCTTGATGATCCTTGGTCTGAAACTCCTCATCAAAATCATCTCCATCATCACTTTCTTCATCATCTCCAACAACCCGTGGACAACCTATTAACAACACAACTCCACACAATTTTTACCAACACTACTAGACAATCAAACAACATATTTTGCAACGGAATCCATCCGTTGCTAAAAACTAGAAACACTACATACCTTTGTGACGTTTATAGCGAAGGTTGCATTGAGGGCAACATTGGTTCCCTTCACTTCGCTCATAAATGTAACAAGGCCGACACACTGGGAACCTGCATTCGCGACAAGCAACAAACAGTTGGCCAATCTCGTCTCCGCACACACGGCATATGTTGGAGTGTGTATCGGGATCTGGAAGCTCATGGTGGCCATGGGAGCCTGTAAAGAGGGCAGCCATGGCAGTACCCAAGAAAGAAACAAAGAATGTGTGTGTGAATTGAATGAGATGGTGAAGAATAATGGGGGTTTTGAAGGGGATGTGTCAGTGTGTGTGTATGGGTAAGTCTACCAACTGATGGTTGAGGTGTCTAAGGTTTGATTAGAAGAGAAGTTTTAATTGTCGTTTGAAGGTATCTTACATTCAAAGTCTCCAAAAGGCTTGTTCACAATAGTTGTTTTTATTATTTATACATATATAAATATAAATATACAAATACAAGGATATATCCATCATGATTTGATGATACTTAAACGACTTATATCTGTATCTAACCAATAACCATCGCTGGAAATTCATTGCATATTTTATTAAATACTTTGCAAGCACTTCAACTCTAGGGAAAAAAAAAAAACTGATAAAAACATCTCACATCTCATTTTTCCTAAATGTGTCTTCAAAAGCACTTGACCAACTACCAAATGCCTCTAAAAAGGGATAGAAATTGAAAATATCATAGCATCTGAAAAAAAGAAATATAACACAAACCAAGGCACCTTTTGCCATAAATCTGATAGCAACATTCCAGCCTTTCCGATGATGTATCGGAAAATCGACATGAGTCGGTGATAAGTCCCATTTCTGTTCCATAATATTCATAACATTGATATTCTTGTTAAAATTATAAATTATAAATATATTCTATTTTTAGTTTTCAAAAAAGACAAATGGTACAAAAGTCACTATAGTCATTGGTCGTGGTGGGTTTGAGAAGGTTCCGAAATTTAGGCCGAAGTTGAATTTGCTTATTAGGCTGAGGCAATGTAGTTTAGCATCGTTTTTGGGTTATTGTAATGAAGGAGAAGAGATGGTCTTTGTGTATATGCCATTGGGAATCCTTGAAAGCTTTCTTCATAAAAACTATCATATCTTCTTATTCATGGTTATGGTTGTTACTACTCAAGATGTGTACATGGGAGTTTGTGGATTAGGTTATTTCATTATTGTCTTGAACCCCAAACACACTCAATGTAATAAAAAATAGAAAAATACATTACCATTTCTAGCATTTTGTCAATGAATATCTACATATTTGATCAAAACCAACCTACAAAATACATGTCATAATATCGGGTGTATACCAAAGTGATTACCATTTATAGAATTTAGTCTAAATATACCAATATGATTAACTATAACATCTCGTTCCCGGTTCAACTTAACAAGAGAAAAAAAAGGAAATGAGAAGAAAATAAAAGAAATTGGTGTTCCCGAGTTTCATTAATTGAAGAAAGTGGAAAGAAATGGAAGAATCATTTTCCCTCCTAACTTTCCTTCCGATTTGCAAGGATTTGAAAAGAAAAAACATAATGATTAATTTTCATTTCATTTCTTTACAACTCGGAAACACAAAAGAAAATTTTGTTTTCATTTGTTTTCTTTTCTCTCCTAACTTTCTTCTCTTTTTTTTTTTCTTTTCTTTTATTAAACTCGGGAACTAGGCATAAATAATGACAAATTAAACAAAAATTATCAAAAAAGTTAACAAGTGATTTAATTTGAAAAAAAGTAGGTGTTTAAAAAAAAAACTAATAATACAATGACATGACTTTTTTACACTTCTTCCATGAGAAAATAGATATTTTTTTCATGGCCTTGGCCTTGCTTTATTTTGTTTTTATGATTGGAAATGAATTTTTGTCATATCCAAATATACAATCGTCTGATCAACTGATTTGCATAATCGTCAACGATAAGTGACAACTATCACCACCAATACAAAAAAAAAAAAAAAAAAAAAAAAAATGCAAATCGATACATATTTACAATAGAACTAAACATAGTCGAGGTGCAGTTTTGGCAAACAACATACGGTGTCTACAGGACGAAACTTAATACTTGTAACTAGCTACCTTCGCTTCTATAACAAACCAAAACTGCACAAGAATATTGCCAATTTAGCGTTAGACTCGACAACATGATAGTCTTATACTGCATTTGGCATGCAACACTGAGACTGATAACAATGGTTCGAAAACTACAATTTTTAGTTCCACCCATTGACATGGAAAAAGACGGCAACATAAAAGCCCTCCTCCTCATCCGATCATCACAAATTGCCCTAGAAAGTTTGTCCAGACGCAACCTACTAATGAAGTTTATAATCGAAAAGCAAGTGATGGTACATATATTTACAGAATGTCACGGCTCTTATGATGAGTCGTTTAATTTAGCACGTTTTGCAGGTTGTGATTCCAAGGGGTCCACTTCCACCTTGCTTGATGGTGATCCAACTTTAATAGGGTCTGGTTTTGGTTCCGGTTCCGGTTCCGGTTCTGTTAAAACCGGAGAAGTTGAAATCTCGTTGGTCAATAATTCGGTTTCTGATTTCTCGGGGGATGATGAAGATTTGAGGTTGTCAATGCCAAACTTGCATTGCTTCTCAAATATCATCCGGAGGTATTTCCCTTGTTCTTCTATTCTCATCTGTAGGTTTCTTTGAATCTGCACAAACATATTATTATATTCTCATAATCTCGAGTTTTTCTTTTCTTTTTTACCAATGAATTTGTAAAGACTAACGATTTATGATTATACCTCCAGTTGTTCGTGTAGCCTTTTTTGAACTTCCACCTGTAATCGTAATGCTTCCGTCATCTCCAAACTCCTGTTGTAAAGGTAACAGAGTTGAAAGTTATATAAATTAGTATCATGATTAAATTAGTTAATATAACATAGCAGCTGAGTATAAGTAATCCCTACATTTATCTAAACTTCGTAAGTAGGACAAACTTAAGCATTAAGTCAACTAAGAATTTTCTTTTTTCCAATTAATATATAGTGAAATATGGACAAGTGCTTGTTTTAGGTAACACTAATCCAATGACTATATGCTTATGCATAACAATATATGTTGACAAATAGACACATTTTTAGTGAAGTTAAAAGGTAAATTAAATAACTAACTTACGCTTTCAAATCCAAGGAGGGTAAATCTTGCATTGAAGTAGGCTTTTTCTCTGAAGGTCCTGCAACAAGTGATTTATCATTCATAACTATTTCTTTTATTATGAAAAATATCCAAACTATGTACTCCTATAAATACAGGTGGCAAAAGGGCTGTCAGGTAATAGATTGTAACTAACTTTTTAATGATTAAAATATATTTGGTGATTTATAGAAGCTATTATTAGAAAACTGATCCATTTTTTTTTGTAAAACAATATAGGAGGTTGTAAACACTTGAAATAGAATGGAGTCGTTTTCATATAAATAGATGAAAATTGACACATTTAGCCGTAAGTGCTGGAGATATATATCTTGTCTTTTTACCAATGAGGAGATAGAAGCAACAACATGTAGAAAGCATCATAGAGAAAATAAACTTAATAGCATTTTTGAACTAATTTATCTTTTTCCTCTAAGCATTAGTCTTTTATACGTTTGTAAGATCAAATCCGAAGATCTCAATTTCAATGTATCATGCTTTGGAAGCAATATTTGGCTCTAAAGTATGTTGCTTTTTTGTTGTTCTTGATTTATTAATAGTGCTTCTAGATAACTCAGTGTCATATGAATCACACAGCCAAACTGACAAACCCACATGCATGGACATTGGACAACCCAATTTACCTTCTGATGAAGGTTCAGGTTTGTATCTAGCTGTTCGATATTTCTGCACACAAAACCAAACATATTCTACATAAATAAACCACAATCCCTTGAAGTATGTCATACATCAGCCAAAAAAACAAGTACCTGCAGATGACTTTTTACATGATAGATGGTTAAGCCTTCAACTTTCATTTGCTTCAATACTCCCTTGGGGGTAGCTCCTGTGATTAAAAATATAAGTTAATTAAAAAAAAAAAAAATTCCACACGATAAAATATATAGCAAGGTGGGAAATTAATATACTTTCACTTCCACCCAGCTTATTAACTGCCTCCACGAATGCTTCATGAAGTTCTGGTGTCCAACGCATTCTTGGCTTGTTTTGGGATTGGGATCCACCCCCACATGATGATGGTGTCATTGGGCTGCATAACTCTCCAGGTGATGCAGGAACCATCTTTTTGACTTCCATTGACTTTGTGGATGATCCCCCCACAGGAAGTTCCAGCTTAAATAAACAAAATTTACAATTTTATTTACATAACTAACAGTTGTTAGCATATAAATAATGACATAACTTTTAAAAGTTTCAGTGATTGATACCTTTGGCTCTGTATCAACTAGAATATCATTCCAATTTGGGGTTGCAGCATCATCTTCTGTGATTAGCTGGTCAGCCCAATCCTGCCAATCATTTGGTTTGGCAAAATCCTCAGGTGGCAGGTCACAAGAACCATTGTCAGTGGGAGTGGGTTGTAAATTAGTTGGCTCAATAGGGCTACTTTCAGGGTAATCAAGAAAATCTGATAGTGAATCTGTAGACCAAGAACTCGTGTTGTTTTCTTTCATATACTGGCGGAAAGCTGTGGAGCGAAGAACTCCTGAGGATTGAGTAATGAAAGGGGCTTTTTTGGAACAAGTTTCGTTATGAGAAATGGAAGAGAAGTGAAGATCTGAAGACATCCCTGAAGACGAAGAAAAAATGTGACCAACAGTACCATTAGTTGAAGACAGTTGAGAGTCCAACAATTTGGGATGCTTCTCTTCCAAAGTGGTATGATGAACAGGGAAAGATGATGATAGAGCTCTGGTTGTTCCATGGTTGCTAAGTTGTGTTGGGCTTGATCTCTGAATGGATAACGCGTGTTGTGTCTCCATAACTTTAGTAGCATAAGTTAGCTTTAACAAAACTCCATAACAGAATTTTTGAATGTCATCATTCCTACATCACACCTACAGCCCATCAAACAGACTAAAGTGTTAAACAGCCATCACTTTAACAAACTAGAAGACCACACAAATTACAGAAAGTAAAGCAATTAACAAGCAGCATTTTGATTTCAACAACAGAATTCAGTGGGCGTGATGTATCATGTATATAAAATCAATAGAAGCATCAGTTACCCTAATTGAACGCCAGTCATACGACCCCTAAAAAGGCAACTTTCAACCACTCAATTCACTCAAGTAACAAATCGCATCGGAACTTGAAAAACTTCACATCTTCACGACATTATACATCACTAGAATGCAACTGAAATCACGAAACGCACATACCTTAGATAACCACAAAATCCCACAATCCGAAAACCTAAACAGCTTCAGTTGCTCTTTCAATTTCGGGGTTTCTAAGGAGATTAAGATATTGCAAATCTGACGTTTTGAGTGGTTATCTTGAACACAGAGACGTTTGTCGTATTAACTTCGTCACCGGCGTCTCGACAAGACACGAAACTGACGTTAATTAGTGGGCGACCTCCTTGTTCAATTTGGCCTTTGCTTTCTGTATGCAGCAACAAGGAAGAAATTTTGAACGGCTTGCTCGCACATCGGTGGCGCGTGGAGACAAAAAGGATTATGTAGGAAGATAAGTGGCGGAGATGCTGCCGACCCCACCAGACAACACCATATAAGCGGTTGCTGTTTGTTCGGTAAGCTCCAAGCGCGTCGAAAACAGATTGGTTTTATGGCTTCAAATTACTAATAAAAAAATGTCAAGAAAAAATATAGATATATTTATATATTAATGACGTATGGAAGAAAATATCAACGAGGCATTGCAATTATTTTCGTCCACCAAATTTCATGGAACATATGATTCATCTGAAATAATTTTAATTTATTAAATTATCTATATATATATATATATATATATATATATATATATATATATATATACAACCACTTATTATTAGTTTTAGGTATATATGGCGAAACTAACTTATAGCTAAAAGGTAGAAATCATAATTTTCATTTGTTTAGATTAATTGTCATTGTAACTTTTTAAAATATACAAAATTATATGAAACCTAAAATTAGAAGTTCTTAAAAATTAATAGATTTCAAACTACTTGAAATGATTTTTGAATTACCAAATTTTTTGTTTAAATTAAAAATTTTAAGTTTATGCTTCAAAAAAATAAATTAATTTTAGTTTTTTCTTAAAAGGAAAAAAAAACATAAATTCTTTAAATCACTCAAAACTCGTTCTTTAACCTCGGAATTTAAATACATTAAGTAATTAAATATAATAAAATAAAATAAATCAACATACATGTTTTTGAAATTCAAAAACATAGTTTTCAATAAATAATTAAATTGTTTAATCAATATTTATGAATAAATAATCTAACTTTATAATATGGGTTTTCAACCGCTCACTGTGATTTTCTATTTTGCAAGAAAAAGAAACTTATCACTTTGGACAAAATGCTAAAAAAAACTTAAATACATCGTATATGTCGCATATCTTGATCAACTTCTAGTTGAGATCTCAATATCTTATCTGTCGTATATCTTGATTAACTCCCGGTTAAAACCTCAATATCTTATCTAATAGGCCACCAGATAGTTTATTTTGTTTAACTGTATAATATAATTGATAACAATTATAAATATATAATTATATAATTACTTTATCTTATTCTTAATAATATCCAAAAAAAACCCACATTTTATATGATGAAACAACTATCATTCATTGGTTTGCATACCCTACAATGAAACACCATCAAGCATTATTGATGTATATGAAATTCTTTATACTTTTAGCTCCATAAAAGTGTTATGGAAGTTCATAAAACCTTTGAATATATCAACACCCTAGGTCCCATTGAAAATAATAGTAAACAATAAAATCCGAATAGTAAAGTTACATTCTTTAAGATGAATTTTATTATATATTTTTTTTACTTTTTATACTGTTTTCATCCAATAATAGCAATATTTTTTGTTTTCTTAAATTATATATATATATATATATATATATATATATATATATATATATATATATATATATATACGGGATACTGACTTAAAAAGGTAATATATTTTTTGATTTGTACATGTTTGGTCAGTGAGTTTTTTTTTCGTTCATATTTATCCATTCAACTTGTTTAACTGTACACATTTAGTCATTATAATCGACTAGTCCAGGTAAGCCGGAAAAAATGACTAAAAAGTTAATATATTTCTCACTTTTTACACATTTAGTCCTTAATTTTTTTTTTTGTTGCAAAATAAGTTCTTGTTGTTTTTGTACACTTTCAATACTTAATGACCGTTTTTTTTTTGTTTTCTCACGTCATACTACGCGGCACAATCATTAATAAGGTGTTCGGGGTTGTTCATGGTTATGGCCATTATAACCTCGATTGCTTAGTTCTTGTGGTTTGGTTAAGTTCTTGTATTCTGAACGTCGTAAATTTTTCATACGATCACAAATTTTAACGATTTTTATATCCACACGTTTGTATTTGAGTCTACTATAATTTTCGTTTAGATTACTTCCGTTAAAAAGTAATATATTTTTACATAAAATCTTTATATTAATGCGTTTTTTATAAATGTATGTATGGACATTTTTATTATAAAATTGTATTAAAAATATATCGTTTTTTAACGGGAGTTCTAAATGTAAATTGTAGTAGACTTAAATACAAATGTGCGGATATAAAGATCGTTAAAATCCATGATCGTATGAAGAAGTCACGATGTTCAAAACAGAAGACCTAAGTCAAACCACATGAACTAAGCAACCAAGTAACTGAGGTCGTAGTGATGGTGGCAATAAGTATGAAAAACCCCCAAAACCTTATTAATGATTGTTCCGCGTAGGATGTCGTGAGAAAAACTTAAAAAAACCGATCATAAATAAGTATTGAATGTGTAAAAAAAAGACTTATTTTGCAAGAAAAAAAATATTAAGGACTAAATGTGCAAAAAAAATATTAAGGGCTAAATGTGTACAAAATGAGAAATATATTACCATTTTAAGTCATTTTTTCCGGTTTACATGGAGTAGCTGGTCATAAGGACTAAATGTGTACAGTTAAACAGGTTGAAGGGGTAATGTGGACGAAAAAAAAAACCTCACTGACCAAATGTGTACAAATCAAAAAATATATTACTCTTATAAGTCATTATCCCTTTTCTATGTGATGCATTGTCAAATTTGATAACCGGTCTAAAATAAGGTATTATTCTATTCATTTAATTCTTTAGGAAATTCAACATTTAAAAAGTGAGTTTGTCAAATTTGATAACCGGTCTAAAATAAGGTATTATTCTATTCATTTAATTCTTTAGGAAATTCAACATTTAAAAAGTGAGTTTATTTAGCGACATTGACTAATAGTAAATTCCTAAAACATTTACGTGTTGTTTGTTTTTTTGAAGCAAAAATTCATGAAATCTGCAGACCACCTCTGTAACCCTCTGCAGTAGAAGAGGTGGATCAAACGGCTGCAGACTGTAATAAGAAGCTTGTTTATTTTTTTAACATCTGCATTCTGCTGCAGATATTAAAAATTTAAAATAAACTGATTTTATAAACCAAAAATAGTTTTTTAATACCGAAAAGTTAATAATGTATGACATTTCAGCAAGAATTTATGATATTTCAGCAAAATATAATGATATTTCAACAAAAAATAAATATATTTTAGCAAAAAATAATGATATTTCATCAATAAATTATAATTATTCAATATAAAAAAACGAAAAAAAATCAACAAGAATAAACAAAACTAAAAAACGAAAAAAAAAGGTAAAATAAGATTTCAACAACATATAATCAAGATTTCAGCAAGAAAAAAAGAAGAAAAAGAGGTTGGAAGATGTTGGAAAAGGCAATACAAGTGTTGCGCCAAACAGAACACGTACAAAGGTTTTTTACTCTGAAGACTTCTAAAAAACAAACAGTTGTGAGATTAGAAGTGCTACGCGTGTGCTGCGCCGCACAACAATAAAAAGACTGAAGATGTTTTTTACAAAAAACAAACAGCACCTTATGGATCATATAAGTATAAATGAAAACAAAAATGTAAAGCGGACCTAACCGAAAAGTTAACTAATAAAAAATAATATTTGGTAAACTTACTTGATAAGTTAGCTAAAATATGTATAATGTCATATAAAAGTTTTGAGTTTTTTTATAATTAATAAATAGTATATTTGAAAGAATTAAAAAAAATCTTAATAAGCTTGTTGAAACATTGGTCATATTAGTTTTACATAAACTAGTCTATAAGTTATTTTTTGTTTTTCAAACATAACAACCTAAAAAACTACATTATAAGCAGATAATATCAATAATAATATTTTTTTTTCATAAAGATATCAAATAATAACATTTGATGAATAATAAGAAGAATTTGCCTTATTAAAAACAAATATATATTTACAACTCAAAGTTACTAATATTATGAATTTTAGGGCAAAATTAGTAGTATAGATTTTTATTTATTTAACACATTTTTTTTAACTAGGTTTGATTACATAATATCTCAAGCTTTTAGGAGCTACGACGTATTTAATGACAAAACGAATAACAAAAATAATGCAAACCGCATAAAAGTACAATTAAAGAATTAAACCATTAAATGTTCATGATTTTAAAATTAATATTATAAGGTTGACATCTATATTTTACAATATTGTAGAATTCAGATCTGTATTACTATATTTTAGGATTTATTTTTTTATTTGTTATATCTAAATCATATGTTAGTACAACCTTATTGTTACAATACATGTTACAACTTACAAACGAATCTGCATCATTATTTAACGGGTTTTAAAATACCTACTTTGAAAGTAAATTATATATTAAATTGTATTAAATAATTTACCATTTTTCACGTAATTTTTCTTCATGT